GAAGAATGGATATTTCGTTGAACGTTCCGTGAGGGTGATCGAGGAGGATCGCCACGAGAGAGGGAAAAAAAGAGGGGCGAGACGATTAATCGTCTCGTGGAGGATGGAGAAGGTGAATTGGTACGTCATGATTTCGGCGATTATTTTTGTCTGTGGAGGTGGTGAGCGAGGGTGAGTCGATATTATCCGCGATTTATTTCCTTTATCGATTGGAGAAGCGACGAGTTAAGTTAAGTTGTCAATTATATTATTAAGAATAAGAGAGAAAATATTTTTACGCCGAGGCAATCTCCTCCTCGTCTTCGATATTCAATTACGCGTAGCGAGGTCGTTCACCTTTGAACTCATCGTCGATGCTTATTTTTCGTCGATCAACATCGAGTCGTGGTGGATTCGATAAAAAAGAAAGAAAGAAAAAAAAATGGGGGAACGAGGAATAAAAACTAGACCGGTGACTCGACGACGTCGTTCCTCGACGCATCCTCCTCTCCGCTTCCGCTTCCTCTATCCCTTATTCGAACTTCCAACTTCATCAAAATTCCATGCTTCGAACGGATAAATACGAGGCTAATCCCACTCCCAGTTCTTCGCTGCTACTCTTTGTAAAATAAACGGGAAGGGAATGAAATAATGGAACAGGGAAATGTCGATAAAGCCTCCCTCGAAAAGGTCCGATGAAAAGGTTCCGAGACCGGTTGGAAACCGGATCGGGAAAGAAATTCTCACACCAAGTTCGTGAACGTCAACTCGCATTCCCCGTCAGATTCTCTTCCCCGCCAATCGTCCAACTCTTAAATTGACTAAATCCATCCCCCTCTCGCAATTCTCAACCCCCTCCTCGATCGTTTCTCCCCTCGTATCCCTCGAGTGGAATATATTTTTATCGGGGACCAAAGGAGAAAGTGAGAGAGAGAGAGAGAGAGAGAGGAAAAGTTTGTCTCGCAGTCGATAAAGGAGTTGATTTTATCGAGAGGAATACGAGGGGATGTATAGAGCGGCGCGTAGAAAAGTCGGGGAAAAAAAGTGGAATGGAAAATGCACACAATGGAATAACAGGAAGCAACGATGCGATTGGAAAGTAATTAAAATCCTATCGATCTGTCTTCGATTCCTTCGTTTGTAGGGATTTGTCATCGTCGATGAAATTAGCTTTCCGATTTTCATCATTTTCACAAGATTCGCAATTTTCGCTACTTTTTGTCCGAAATTTGATACCGGCCTCCTGTTGTGCATTCGCATCGATGTGCGATTTGATCGGCTTCGATAGGATTCGAAATTTATTACGGAATTTAGCGGTCGAGAGGGGTGTGTCGCGTCGTCGGAGCATGGTAATTAATTGGGTCGAAATGTAGCGAGGACAGTTGTTGTGGTTTTTAATTAATCTGCAGTTATTGATTCGGAAGAGTATCCGAATTTAGGATGGAAGTTTAAATTGCTATATGGCGCGTTTCACGCCTTTAATCAACGACGATCCGATATGTTGCGTTGGAAAAAATATTCGACCGACGAATAAAGAGAAAAATTCGAGAAAGCGAGAAAATTACGTCTCATGAAAATGTATACATAAGCGTTACGTTACGATTTTTCGCGAAATTATTTTGCATCCTCCGACAGCAACAGAGAAATTGTGGAAATTTTCAGACGATCCAATGGTGAACACGGACTTCCCCGTTAAAAGGTACACGGCGGTGCAGTACACCCAACCGGCGGCCGCCATTTCACCTTTATCGAAATCTACCAGGCATCTGTTGGTGCCGGAACCGGATCCACGCTATTTTTACACTCACAGGGCCCATCAAGAAACCATCACGATCGACAGGGATAATTTAAAGCACGGTAAAACTCGAGACCATTTCCATTTTATTCGCCCATTTTCCCCTATTGACATCGATATAATTTAAATTTATGATCGTAAAAAATAATTTGTAACGTAGAGTCAATGGCCGAGAGAGTCGAGTATCGGCGAATTTCCATATCGCTTTTACTATTATTATTATTATTATTATTATCCGTCAAACATCAATGTTTCGTTCTAACCTTTTGCGTAACACGTAACACGGCTTCGTAATTTTGTCGTTGCGAAATAATGCTTTCACCGTGACGCAATTAACAGTTCGAAATAGGATCGGATAAATGCTACCGAATTTATATACGTTCCCGTTACACGCTGTACACGCGCTGTACTCTGCTTACGTGTGTACGTGCGTACGATTCTAAATCCTCTTGGCGGTTAACTCCGGATCCGCTCGACATCGGTAATCGGATCGATATCGAACGACGTTCGTATCGAGGAATATTTTTTTTTTTTTTTTCCTTTTCTTTTTTTCCTCTC